GACCCCAACTGACCAAAGGGATGTTCCACACCATATGATGTCATGCTCAGCATATAAAGCTGGGGGAAGAAGAAGGAAGGGGTGGACGTTTGGAGTGATGGCGTTTGTCTTCCTAAGTAACCGTTACGCGTGATGGAGCCCTGCTTTCCTGGAGGTGGCTGAACACCTGCCTGCCCATGGGAAGTAGTGAATGAATTCCTTGTTTTGCTTTGCTTGTGCATGCACAGCTTTTGCTTTACTTATAAACTGTCTTGATCTCAGCCCACGAGTTTTCTCACTTTTACCCTTTCGATTCTCTCCCCCATCCCACTGCGGGGGAGTGAGCGAGCGGCTGTGTGGTGCTTAGTTGCTGGCTGGGGTTAAACCACGACACCCAGGGACCTGCAGATTAGGAGAAAGAGTTCAGAGAGGAGCTTATAGAGATATGTGGCTGCTTCTTTTCACTGGAGAGAGCTGCCAGTGTGTTGTGCCTGTCTTGTGGCAGTTATTGCCTATCCCAGGCATCATGCCTCATAAATGTCCAGCACCAAGATGACAAAAGACTGAACTACAGTGATAAAGTATGTAAAAAATGAAGAATCACAGAAATATTAGAAAGTGGTGCTTGCTTTTAATTTGAGGACCAGGTAGTAAGTCAGCATGGCTGGGAGGACTCACATGTTTTGCCATATTTGTGGTACAGCAAAGTGAGTCATTGGACAACATGCTTCTCAAACTGGCGAGCTTCCCAGCCTCGTCCCTGGTTGTCTTCCTGATGCCTCCCTTTTCCTACTGACCCTGCCAAACCCCATGGCTTGAGCCCGGCAGAGCCGTGCTGCTGCAGGTCATGGACCCCCAAGCTGCAAACCATCTTCCTCAGCAACCAGTGTGTCGTGGTTTAACCTCAGTTGGCAGCTAAGCACCACGCAGCCGCTCGCTCACTCCTCCCACACCCCGGTGGGATGGGGGAGAGAATTGGAAAAGCACAAGGGAGAAAAACTCGTGGGTGGAGATAAAAACAGTTTAATAATTGAAATAAAATGATAATAATAATATGATAACAATAATAATACACAAAGCAAATGATGCACAGTACAGTTGCTCATCACCTGCCGACCGATGCCCAGCCAGTCCCCGAGCAGCGGCCCCCCCGGCCAGCTTCCCCCAGTTTATGTACTGAGCATGACGTCACATGGTATGGAACATTTCTTTGGCCAGTTTGGCTGTGCCCCCTCCCAGCTTCTTGTGCACCTCCAGCCATCTCAGTCAGTAGAGCATGGAAAACTAAAAAGTCCTTGACTAGTGTAAGCACTACCTAGCAACAACTAAAACATCGGTGCCTTATCATCAACTTTGTTCTCATCCTAAATCCAAAACACAGCACTGTACCAGCTACTAGGAAAGAAATTAACTCTATCCCTGCTGAAACCAGGACATCTGGACATCTATCTGGCTCTGCAGTCTCATATATCCTTGATAGCAGTGATTTTGCCTCATGAGCTCCACTTGTGAAAACCCTAGGTGAAACAAAGAGTATTCCCCATGACTCTGTCACTCATTGGAGGTCAGTGGTGAGAGACAGGCTATAGACAAAGTCAGTCTGCGAAGGAGAAAGTAGCTTATCTTTGAAACAGAGCCAAGAACAATATATCAATGTCCATACATATTTAACTCTAAGGACTGACTCAGGATTTGTCATGCTGAGGTGTAATTTTGGAAGTTGAGGTATGGAAGTTGTTTTTCTTCAATAAAAGTAATTGCTATCAGAAGGTGGTTGGTAGCCCTGTTGCTTTGCCTGTATTTTTGCTGCTAGTAGAACACTTAATGCAGTGCTTTACTGAAGTCTCATGTAATGTTGTCATGTTACCATGACACACATACAAAAATAAAAGCACTGTTGTCAGGGTGATATAGTCAAATTATTACCACCCTGTTTTTCCAGTATTCAGTTAAAAAAGATGTAGATTTTTTTATGTTTTAACTAAAAGTTTTAATGTCATTTTTAGTAATGGAGAAAACAATATTCAAGTGATCATATGCAAATTCATATAAACAAGGTAGTATGAATTGAATAGATAGCACTGAAAATAGATTTGTCCTTCAGGTTCTGCTAGGGACAATGGTGAGAAAGGAGGAGAGGGTTTTGTAATGATGAGAACCACTTTGATATTATTACTTGAAATAGCTACAAGCAGAAGCCATAGATAATAATAATCTTCAAACTGTAGAGGTTGAAAGCTCTGAGAAGCCAAGAATGACTGCAGCTGCCTTGCGTGATAGTGGAACAAAGCCATATAGTTGTGAATAGTTTATGCAGATGAAATATAATCACAGTCAAAATGTGCAGTCATCAGGTTTGAGATCCAAGAAGCAGGTGGTACACGTCTATCTCAGGGTTTTGGAGGGGTTCCCTGGCATCAACCATCTCAAAGAATCGTAGACTAAAGAAACAGTTTTGATGTCTACAATTAGATAACACAAGGGGACCGTCACTTCAAACACAAAATTATTCCTTGTCTATGGTCTTCTCCAGACATTCAATGAGGCAGATTGTTCCTGTTTCAAAATAATGCCTCAGAACTCAATGCCACTTTTTTCTGGAAGTGCTAAATGGAAGCTAATGATAGAGAGGAAATGATTTCCAAGTTTTGCAACTGGCAACCATTACCAGAGGATCCATGAGCTTTTCAAATCCATTTTTATGTACTTTAAATCGTGGCAAGAACTGGGCAACCAAATGTATAAAGAATGTGGCCAAGGTAGCCCACTGCTCCTGAATTATTTATGACCTGATCATAGCATTTGCAGATCTCTTTACTGTTTATAAAAAAATTTGCATTAAAAATTCCACCAACAATGTTTTGCTTCTGTATTCCTAGAAGAAAATGACCACTTTAATTATTAATGTTTTAATAGCCCTGCAGTTTCAGTGGTCACTTAGTGTGATGGGGTTTCTTAACTTCTGCTAATCTTAGGTACTGAAGAAATCACTACAGTTTTGCTGCCTCAAATTTGAGAGAAAGGAACATTTTAAGGAAGAAGAAGCAGTAACAATATTGAATAAATTATCTTGTGACTTTTGGGACATTTGAATATTTTTCTATAGCAAATGAAAAACGTTAAAATACTACGTATACCAGTCTGGATCTTAAAGCGGCTTTGTTCCTTCTTGACTAAAGGAGAATTTTATTGATGAATTAGCAGATTATGTGATCAATTTTCTCTTTTGCATTCCTAAGAAATCATTGAATATATGCATATATGTATGGTCCAATGCAGCATTGAGTTTAGAGAGCATCAGCTGAGCAGCTACCCTTCCATTTTTCCTTTCAGTTGCTAACTTAAAAAATGCATAGCAGATAGTGAGTCAGTGTAAAATGGTGAGCCCAGGCATTGATCCATCTTCTTTAAATCCTTTCATTACAAATTCTGTTATTAGAAATGAAAATCTTGGTATGCTGTCACTTCAGTCCACTTTCCTTACCTGCCTCTTCATGCCAATCATTAGCTATTCACTGCATGTATGTGTTTAATAACCATTCTGTAATGCTGCCTTTTTTCCCATTTTTCATGATTTAATTATTACAGTTGGAAATGAGTAAAGCTGCCGAAAGATTAAAGAAATGGCTTCTTCATTATTTAAGTAATGATTGCCCATCACTCGTCAGACAAGTGGATTGGGATTCAGGTGACCACATGTCAATACATACAATTTTGACATCTGTATCTAAGCTAGTCCTCCCAGGCTCCCTTTATAGACAATAGAGAGAAAAAAACATTTTTAGGATGCAATGTCATCCCAAATAAAGCTTCTAAAATAGATCAGATTATTTGCACCCTAAAAATGCTAGTTTTAGTTGACTGTAAATAGAAACAGGAGCAACTAGATTAGATGTTTGCTTTGTAAATCATAGAATCATCCAATCATTAAGGTTGGAAAAGACCTCTAAGATCATTGAGTCCAACCGTCAACCCAACACCACCATGCCCACTAAACCATGTCCCTAAGCGCCACATCTACTCGTCTTTTAAATACTTCCAGGGATGGTGACTCAACCACTTCCCTGGGCAGCCTGGTCCAATGTTTAACCACTCTTTCAGTAAAGACATTTTTCCTCACGTCCATTCTAAACCTCCCCTGGCACAACTTGAGGCCATTTCCTCTCGTCCTATCGCTTGTTACTTGGGAGAAGAGACCAACACCCACCTCGCTACAACCTCCTTTCAGGTAGTTGTAGAGAGCGATGAGGTCTCCCCTCAGCCTCCCTTTCTCCAGGCTAAACAACCCCAGTTCCCTCAGCCGCTCCTCATAAGACTTGTTCTCCAGACCCCTCACCAGCCTCAAGTGTCCAAAGGTAGGTGAGATTAATCCCATCCCTGTGCTCAAATTAACCATAAATGCCCAGGGGTTTTGTGTGATGACACTTCTAATGTGAATGTATTGTGGCTGTGTTTTTTGATGTAAAGGACATAGTGCCATTCAGTGCTCTGCACAGATGAACAAGTCCTGTTTCAGCACAAGCACCAAAAGCAGTACAGTCATGTTAGGACTACATTTCAAATGGATTAGATTACCCTGCTTTTTACCTTGGCTAAGTAGTACCAGCATATTAGCATGTCCACATTCTTTCCAGAACAGATCAGTCTGGGGAATAGCATTAATACTCTGATCGTAGACATACAGAGGGGGTGTTTAATATTTACGTTGGAAGATAAATGTAATGGCCTTGACCAGATTAGGTCCTGCTATGCAAAGCATTGTATACCATATTACAAATAATAATAATAATGATACCTATCCTTGCCCCAGCAAACTTACAAGGAGCTAGTTTATTAACAGTGAAAAGGGAGGAACCTCAATGCAAATAGTATTATTTAGGAATGACTCATGGCAAGGGCCTCTTGCATTAAAGAGGTTGAAAAAGGTGACAGATGTTGAATGCTGAGACGTTTCTTAGGTTCTGCAGTTAATTTAGGACATTGCCTTAATGGTGATTTTTCCTGTGGGTTTTTCCCCTTAGGATGATTTCCAGCATGCAGCCTCAGAAACCAACTGGGAGTCAGTCACAAGCTCTGTCTCAGTAAGTAATTTGTTACTATTTTGCCCATGGATGGATTGATAGGATGACTTGAATCAAACTCACTCAAATGGCACCTGCACAGAGGAATCATGTATTCACCTTTGGCAGAAGATTAAATAAGTGTTTATCCAACTCACACTGGAGTCAACAAGTGTGTTTTTAAGGAGAAAAGATTCAGGATATGCCATCAGCTGTTGTAACCACAGGAGACAGCCATTGAGAAACATTTCTTGCTTTCACACTCATCCTGCCAAGATGAAAGTACAAGATAAACTCCTTACAATTTTCAGTTGTAAAATGTCTTGACCTAAATAGAAGACTATACTTAAAACAGGCTGGCAGGAAAATGGATCTAGCTTTTCATTGTCAATACTGAGATTTTTTTAAGTGTTTGTAATAAAATATTATACCTGAAGTCTCCATATTCAGCAGTGAAATGCGACTTGAAAAAAAAAGAAAGAAAACAAGTAATCCAGTATAAAATTTTATTTTTCTCTTCATCACATTTGATTTGTGTCATTGGCCAAAAATCTGTCCCCTCTTTTGTTTCCCAAGTAAAGTTAAATTCTGGGGAATAGCAATCTAGCATCAGAACTCGCAATATGGGCAGTCCTCTTCTGTGTGCTCTGCTGGCTGGTCAGCACCATGTCACAGCTCTTATAAACTCCTCTTAAAACACAGGAGATGAGGGTAAGTGCTCAAAGCAGACTTGAGACCAATGTTTGGAGCATTCATGGAAGAGGGTTTAGTGATGGCACCTTTGTTACAGTAGCTGCCAAGAGTTGCCAGTGGAGGAGCAGTAAATAAAATATGGGTAAATTCTACTGATTAGTGTCTAAGCCCAGCAGCGAGTAGAGAGAAAATTCTGTATTACCAAAATTAGAAGAGGTTAAGCCAATCTCACTCATGGTTACCCTTGAGTTTGCAAATGACACTTGCCCTTCATGATATGATGCATTGATAGCCTTGAACTAATTGTGCTGAAAGTCCTGAGTAGTAATGTTAGCAGGGCTGGGATCTGCTGGATGTGCCAAGCAGGAGATGCTAAAACACTGTTTTACTGAAAGACATAAACTTATTTTTCATTCTAATATGGAGTTGGAAAAAAAATCTATGTGATAGAATATTTTGTTTAAAAATATGGTAGGCTGATGTTTGAAAATGTAAGCCTAGGGCTCCCTCATCAGGTAACTATGAAAATGAGCTCAAGTATATGGTAAATGCCATGTTAGTTATCCTCCTTAACATCATAAGGTGCACTGCACCAAACAATAATCCAGTATTCTTTTCATATTGAAAAAAAGTTTATTCATCTTTCACATCTATTTGTTTCTGAAAAGTTGTTGTTAATGTGTTACAGGTAGGGAAGTTCAGTACAGGTAGCAAACTGATGCCCAAGGTCACATGGAAACCTACAGCTAAACTGGAAGCAGAACCCCAGTTTCATTGGTTTTTCCATGCCATCCCCTATTCTAATAAAACATACCTTCTTCCACTGGGCATGCATTGCACCCGCTAGCCCTTTCTTATCCTCAGGGAAAATAAGGTAGAGAGGTTGAGTAATTTTTCCCAAAGGCACCAAGGAAAAGTCTGAGGACATCCGAATTCTTCAGGAGAGAAGTGTTCCGGGATTCTGCTGTGTTCCTGAGGGGCAGAAGGACAAAGTCAGACTTGTCAGTTGCTGACAAGATGACATACTCTTCTGCTGATACTCAGTTAGCATGGCAGATCTAAGTTTTGCCCCTCAAACCCACAGGCAACCCAGAGGCTCATTTTAGGAACTGGGTACATTACAACTCTCAGAATTGAAATTCGAGAGTCAGCAAATTTATTCTTCCTTGTCTGATGTCCTATCACAGAACCATATTTCTTGTTTGTTTTTTTTTCTCAGAAAGCTAAAACCAATACTTCTGCCCTTAAACCAGCATCGCAAACGCAGAAAAAAAAGGAAAAAAATTTCCATTATTTGTGAAGTAATGTTATGACAAACAACTGCGATGCACATTGAACTGCCTGTCAACTTCACAATGCAGATAGAAAATATAAAAGAATGGGGCAATAGAAATTAAGGGTAAGAGCACTGACAAAAAAGATACCTTTGTGTCCCATGAAATTAAAAATGTGTTCAGTGCTTTTAAGAAACATAGAAGAGGTACATAATGTGGAAAATCTTTGCTCTTCGCTGCTTCTTGCATTTCACTCTTCCTCTTGCCCTATCTTTGGATGTGATCTCAGAAGCCAGATTACAATGAGCACAAGCTCTTCTAAAGCTAGGGCCTCGTTCTTGGCAGGACAAAAGAGAGCAGTTGGGTTGGCAGCTTTGAAGTTGCTTTTGGGCCTGTCACATGATGTCGCTGCCAGGAGGTTATCTGAGCTGTTGACATAATTCCTCTTGACTTGGCTGTCAGTGAGAAAAAGTTAAGCTTGCTTCTGTGTGTGAGCGAGGTTGCACAAATCTCTTGAGTAGGAGCTTTTTGTATGAAGAGAAAATGGGGAATCCCTGCTGCCTGTAAGAGTTTGAAATGCTCTGCAAATTCACAGCCTGACCTGCAGTGCTGTAATGAAGTGCACAGTTGAACACGTGAAAAAAACTCTCGCATCGTCTAAGCCACACACCTATGGCCTGATTTTTATGCTGCTGTTTATTCAGCATCCTTGCACCATCTCCCTCACTTTCGAAAGGTAGTCGGGGGCAGACGTTTCCCTGTTGGGCTGCAGTCACAGACGGGCCATGAGCTCCACTGAGCTCTCCTCAGTGAGCAAGTAGCATTTGGGTGCATTTTTCTTTTGTAACCTCAATAACTGCATTAGCGTACTTCATGATACCTGCCTACAGCACAGTCTTTCCTGCAGCATTGTTTTAGGTAACAACGCTGTGTTCACTTTGCTGGCGTGAGCTTTTCATCTCCTGCAGCTCCCATCTCTCTGACGGTCTCTATTCCAAGCCACTTAGAAGTCAGGAGAGATGCTTTGAGGTATGCTTTGCCTTTTAGTGGGTCATGAATTTTTACAGCCATCTGCACTGTGTCTTATTTAGCACTGCATTGTAGAGGCATTGCAGTCACAAGTGCGCCCTCTGAAACTTCTTGTGCTGTTGGCGATAAGCAGTAAAGTGCAGCTATGCTTTCTTGACTGCACAATTGTAATGTTTTCTATTTCTTCTCTTTCTTGTTTTTAATAATTTGGAGCCTGTACTTTCAGCAAACATATGCAGTAAAATATAAAGGATTGTTAATTTTGTGATATAACTTACAGTTAAAGACAAAAGTTTTATTTTAAAAGACATACATACTTTAAAACTATTTTAGTAAGCATTGAAGGATACAATCCTGCAAACAAGTGAGTAACTTTACTCAAATGAGTTGGCCTTTTCATTACTACCCAACTGAGCGAAGTTAATCACAAAGATTAATAGTTTAACATAGGCATTTACTTGGGAGATGAGGCAAAAAATTATTTTGGGGGGCCATTAATTTTAAATGGCATATTTCTGCTACATTACTTCAGAGCTGGGTTTTCATGAGAGAAGGTTTCCAGGGGGTTTCCCCCAATGTTTTAACTTTTAAGACCAAAATCCAAGCAGAACTCATGTGCTATATTATGCTTCTTGTTGGACAAAATCAGTTATTTTGATTGTGGTTCTTCAGAAAGTAACAGATCTGCATTAGTAGTTTTTCTTACACATATTTTACATATACTATGAGGCTTTGTGGTTGGAAAGGGGAAAAAGTGATACCAGGATAGTGAATATTGTGATTCTAAGTAATGATTATTAAAAATGTTTAAAGTCCTCTCCAGTAAAAATGAAATTGCTGCAATCTTTCTGTCAAAGTTAAGTTGTGCCACAAGTTCAGTGGGAACCAAATACGCTCAGAGAATGGTACTTGGCCCTTCCTGGTTGGAAATAATATTCCATTTGTTATTATGATATAATTGTGAGGATATCACTATGTTGGTAATCCCAATATTCATTGTTACATTGCTGAGATCCAAATATCATGTTTTTTCTCGTTTGCTTAGTAATTTGTATTTTTGGTAAAAGGGTGGGAGAATTGTCATTTATCAGTATTTCATAACACATTTAATTCTTGGGAATAAAGGGCCATCTTTTCAAGTCTTTAACCCAGCCAAATTCGTTGTCCCGATTGACCAGGGAAAGACAGACAATCTAGTGGACTTGTTGCCTTTGTCTTTCTCTGCTATGGTTTCTGATCTGCCTATTATGAATTTACCAACAGAGCTGGCGGAGCTGTGAAGGCACCACCCCAGCACCACAAGGCACCTCCGTTCTGTTGTCATGGCCATCACAGTGGTTTCAAAAGACATTTCCATTACATCTTTGTATATGTGCAAACTGTTGTCCCCTTTGAGGACTGCGTGTGCATGTTGACAGTCCAGCAGTGGCAGTGCTTCCAGTCCCTGCATCTCCTCTGGGATTTGCTTGGGAGTTCCTTGATGCCTCTTCTCCTTGCAAAAGAAAACACAGGCATAACAAAGCCTGACGCAGCTAAGGACTTCAAAAGATGGCCCAAAGTAGCTGTTTCAGTCAATAATGAGACAAGTTTCTTAGTAACTGTTTTCAATTGTTTTAAGTGGTGCTGTAATTTATTCCAAGTACACTGAGATGTATGTCACTCTTAGGGGGTATCCTATCCCTCTCCATCAGTGACTGACCCTACGCTCACAGCGGAAGCACTGGATCAGACCATTGCTGCATTTGACACGGTGGAGGATCTGCTCAAACACTTTAACCCAGACTCCTGGCAAGAAGATCTTGAGAATTTGTACACAGACAGTGGCCACCATTATCGAGGCAGGAGCTACCACGACAGGAAGTCCAAAGGTAGGAAAAGACACTATATACATAATTTGGGGCAAGACCAGGCTATTCCTTCACTCCTCACAGAAATGTCCATTGGTAAGGTATTAGATTCTGGTGCCCATGTTCCTGTTGGAGCCACAGGGCAAGCTGCCACCTGTTAAAACCAGGGATAAGTCATTTAATCCTTAATCATTTTCTTACTGAGTACAATCTCGCCTGAGAATCAGACTGAAAACTGCCCATTGTTATGATGAATTCACAAATGAAAACATAGGCCCATGTGTAAAGGACAGATGGTTCTCAGCTTCACCCGCTTAAACATTGCTTTGTGTGTAAGGCATGGGGCTCCTAATTACCTGCACTATCATCCCCCTTTAAATACCCTGCTTAGGGATTGTTCTCTGTTGAGTGAGGAATAATCACTTTTATCACATTGTGCTTAGGGAAGCATCTGGTGCAGACACCTGTATGTGCAGCTGGTTTTTTAGGATGTGAACGTCTCACTGTTTTTCATTATGTTGGTGGGGAACATTATTATGGTTTAACGTCTTTGTCTGTAATTGAGCAAAGCACACATTTCTGGGTTATGTTTCTTGTTTCCTTCTGTTAGTTCAAATCATCCACCAAATGGTAAAGCAAAGAGATGTTAAGCTAGCAGTACAAACCCATAATGATAAAGAAACACCATTTAGAAGAGACAGTCATGCTCTGGGGTAACCATGCACCGAAGGACCTGATGAAATCGCCCTTTATGTGCAAGCACAGATCTAGGAGGTCTGTTAGGGTTCTCCAAGATGACAATTGCTGTAGTTTTCACAGATCCGGAGTGAAACATTTTATATGAGTTTTTTTCCTAATATTGTCTTCCATTTCCAAGATATGTATTCATATGCATTCTTCTTTATAAATACAATGCCCAAGTCACAGTTCTGATTCTGTGCAATCTGCAGTTTATTTGCATCTCAAATCCCATCCCCCCTATGTTAAGCGTGTGCTAAGCAGGGAGACAGGATTTTAATTCTATGTTTGTAACTTGCTTGCTATCAAATGATGAGGCTTTAATGTGCTTTGATCTGAAAAAGGATGTATAGGCTGCATCTGTATTAGGAAAAATAGTGTCAAGGAGTGCTCCCAGGCCCCGAAATCCAACCATCATGTTGCTAAATTGTCAGCCTGCTGTCTGCTTAGTTTTGGCCCAGGCCAAGTGTCATTCTCGGAGGTCATTGCTGGGCAAAACCAGGAGCTGGCAGAGTCCCGCTGCCATTCCCGGTGGGCAGTTTGCATGTGGCCACCCTGTCTTGGAGGGTAAGAGGTTTACGCTAGGGATGTGGGCTGTCCCATGGCTGTTGACCTTTGTGCAGGAGAATGACTTCAGGCACATACAATGTATTAGTAGATAGACAGCCAACTTGACCTACAGTTTCCAAGACACGTTGGCTGTCTGTTTTTGGGCTCAGCACTTCAAAGGAATCTGCGATAAAGCCCTGAGCACCCATCTGGTGAAAATTGAACCCTTTTACTTTGTTCCATTTTGGCACTTCAGAAATTTCAGGCAACCACAACAGCCCATGTTTTGTGAAAAACGTCACCTGACTGCCGCTGCATCACTTCTGAGATCAGTTTGATCTCATTTAGGGGTCTGTGAAACATGAGCTGTGTGTCCCTTATATCCAGGCTGGATTTGGCACCGATAGACATATATACAAAAGAAATAAAGGGTCTGTTTTGATTTTGAGAGAAGCTGATTAGAAACCTGGATCCTGTACTGGTTCTGCTCTCCAGATTTAATTTGATTCTCAGATCATATTTGGCCTAGTACCCTATATGTTTAAATGACCACGTATATATAAAATAGCATTTGCAGCTTTAATGATGCTGATCATGTAGGCTACAGGTATCAATCTGATCTGGTAGTGCTCAGAAAATTCAGATGCATAAAGGTTTCTCCATTTAGTATACATGTAATTCAGCTTCTTGCATATCAAAACACTGTAAAAGACATAAAGAGTTTTCCAGTTATTATTTTAACACTTGATTTATTTTAATGGGATTTTTTTGTTGCTGTTTTGGTTACAGGAATAAGCAAAAAATGTTTTATAACAGTTTTTCTTTTGTCTTCAAACTAAAGGCCAAATTCCCTGACTGTTAGCAGCCCTCCGGACAAAAGTACCTCACCACAATCAAATCCTTAAAAAATTTCAGTTAAGAATTTTTATTTAGTCATAAACTTTTGACAGGATTAAAGGCTTGTTTTTGGATGATGTCAGGAGTAGGGAATAGCTTTAACAAGTCCTTAAATTAGAAATGCTTGGTGGGTTTTAAACAAAGACACTGTGGATCTCTGAGGAATGTTTATAGGCACTGGGATAACCTTGCAGCATAGAGACCAATAGATTATATCATCATTTATTTCAGATATCTATCTGTTTCTGCTTCCAGCTTGGGTTTTATTTGTTATCCTTAGTTAGAACAGCCCTGAGGCAGATTAGAACAATTTGATGTAATCTCTGCCTATCTTTCACAGCATTTTCAGGACATGTCATATAAATGGTATAAATGAATCACTAATGATTTTGCTCCTATCCAACTCTCTGCCCATACAAATTGTGCCATGAAATTGAGCTTAAGAAGCAGTGTTGCTGAATACCAATTCTAATAACAGGGATATGTGATAAATGACATTTAAATGGTATGTTTTCTTAATTTGGCAATCAATAATCCACAAAGATAAGGATCAAGGTCAAGGAAATAGGAAGTACAGTATTTTAGCATAGCTGAAACTCGCAGAATCATAGAATAGATAAAGTGTGAAGGTGCACCAGGAGATTGTCTAGTCCAACTCCCCTGCTCAAGGCAGGGTCACCAACAGCAGTTTGCTTGGGACCATGTCCAGTCGAGTTTTGAATATCTCCAAGGATGGAGACTCCACAACCTTTATGGGCAACCTGTGTCTGACCACCTTCAGAACAAAAAAAAAAGTTTTTTCTAAATGTTTAAATAAGTTTTCCTGTGTTACAGTTTGTGTCCAATACCTCTTGTCCTTTCAAAGACTCTGGCTCCATCTTTTTTACTCCCTCCCATCATGTATTTATACATAGTTATAAGATTGCTCCCTCCCTGGATACCTCCTGTGAGAACCTTAAAGATGAAGAGTGTGTTGATTAAATCTGTATGTATGATAACTCCGTTCCATCTACAAAATCTGATCTCACACCTCTACAACACTGATGCGACTCTATTGAGTTAAATGCATTTCTTTCTATTTACACTATTGAAGTGAGATACTGGTATCAGGTGTGTCTCACTAATAACACATGAAGTTTTAAATTTAATTCTACATATGTTCAGTGAGGTTTGCTGTTAACCACTCCAGTCAACTATAGAATCACAGTGGAACCCAGACTGGAAGAAAAGGACAGAAAAGAAACGGGAAGATACACATTCACATTTTCAAAATCCTTAAATGAGAGGCCTTGTATAAGCTAAAACTATGGGTATAAGCTATAAACTACAGTGTACACCTCCTACATGAAAATACAACAAGTAGATGTTTCAAATAACCTTTGCAGCAGTTGTAAATATACTCAAAAAGGTTTGTTAGCCATTGCTGCATTTTAGAAACTCTGAAAGTACGAATATTCAGCCTTAAGCTCATCCTAGACTTTTAGGAAAAAAGCAGGTCATACCAAATAAAGTATATCCCTTAAAATAATTCCTTTTGCATTGCTGTAATATGTTGTAGCTGACCTCAGTGTCATAGTAATTTGGCTATTACAAATATAAAGCATCTCTAAAAGGATATCACTGGCTGTTGAGTTATTTAATATTGTTCTTAGTATTCTACACAGGTAGACATAAGAAAGAAAACAGCCATACTCTACAATTATGTTGAACTTCTAGACAAATAGATCACTATTCTTTTAGAGAGTCATAAGGAGCATTCAGACATGTTTGAAGGAAACCTCTTCATCCTACAGTTTAAATTTTTGAAAGCATCAATGTATCTGCTTGATAATATTAGAAGAGCTCCTCAGAGATACTGTTGTAAACAGTTCCAACCATCAATTAAACATAATTTAACTTTTCCCACATGCTTGTTTGCATTTATCTTTTGTTGTTCACTCTAAAGTTTTACATCCCATTGAAAAAGGCTTTATAATTTTAAAATGAAAAGACCTCTGCCTGTTAAACGGCTTGTGTACAAATGAAGAAAGGAACGAGAAAGAAAAAGTTCACTGTTTCTCATCATAGAAGTAGATCCAAATATCTAGGGGATGGTACCTAGAGAAAGGGGTCATCTTTAAAAAGGAAGTTTTTTCCCACAAATAAACGTAGGAAGCAGGAACACATGGGTAGATACATTCTGGTAATTAACAAGACTACACATGCCTCTGAGCTCATTTTCTTTTTGGGAAATAGTATGCAAGAAGCCTTTAGCTATCAGAAGAAATTAATCAGGTGGGACATTCTTGCAATAACATCTGTCTGCAATGACAGCTTTACAAGTTAAATAAATAAACACTTGCTGGCATAGCCACACTGCTCTCTAGAAGGGGAATAGTGAGATGAGACCACAAGTCTTCATGGAATGTTTCTGCTGTCCATTGCCAAACAGGTTCCCAAGATCAGGCAGGTTTTGCCATGTCCTTAACAATAGTTTTTAATTGTCACTACTTACAATGGTCTAGCAAGAAGTTAAAATTTTAACTCAGGAATGTAATTTCTCAGGGGTTTCCAAACAGTGGCCAATAAATTACTGCAAACGTCCGTGTACTCTTCCTTGAAAGGTTCTGGGATGGCTGCCAGCAAGTTTCAGTGCACCAGACAGGGAGTGCAGGCATCACAAATGCTGAATGCCCACTTACTCACAACAAATGTGAATATTCCAAGTAGATGGAATACCATCTCAAATAGCTGCTAATTTAAAGTATTCCCTGTGCTGAAAAAACAGGATATTTCTTCCACCTTTCTTCCATTGGGAACCAAATTGTCTGTTGCATGCAAACCACACACATTTATTC